TCTCATGAATAAACGCAGAGAGTCGCTCGAGGGGTCAGCTGACGTAGAATGGTGCTGCAGCCAATCACACGCTCCGGCTCGCTTCTACCTCACATTCAGCCAATCACACACTCCGAAGGCACGCCTCTACCTCACATTCAGCCAATCACACGCTCAGGCTCGCTTCTACCTCACATTCAGCCAATCACACGCTCCGGCTCGCTTCTACCTCACATTCAGCCAATCACACACTCCGAAGGCCCGCCTCTACCTCACATTCAGCCAATCACACGCTCAGGCTCGCTTCTACCTCACATTCAGCCAATCACACGCTCCGGCTCGCTTCTACCTCACATTCAGCCAATCACACACTCCGAAGGCACGCCTCTACCTCACATTCAGCCAATCACACGCTCAGGCTCGCTTCTACCTCACATTCAGCCAATCACACGCTCAGGCTCGCTTCTACCTCACATTCAGCCAATCACAAGCTCCGAAGGCACGCTTCTACCTCACATTCAGCCAATCACATGCTCCAAAGCCTCGCTTCTACCTCACATTCAGCCAATCACACGCTCCAAAGCCTTGCTTCTACCTCACATTCAACCAATCACACGCTCCGAAGGCTCGCTTCTACCTCACATTCAGCCAATCACAAGCTCCGAAGGCACGCTTCTACCTCACATTCAGCCAATCACACACTCCGAAGCCTCGCTTCTACCTCACATTCAGCCAATCACACGCTCCAAAGCCTCGCTTCTACCTCACATTCAGCCAATCACACGCTCCGAAGGCTCGCTTCTACCTCACATTCAGCCAATCACAAGCTCCGAAGGCACGCTTCTACCTCACATTCAGCCAATCACATGCTCCAAAGGCACGCTTCTACCTCACATTCAACCAATCACATGCTCCGAAGGCACACTTCTACCTCACATTCAGCCAATCACACGCTCCGAAGGCTCGCTTCTACCTCACATTCAGCCAATCACACACTCCGAAGGCACGCTTCTACCTCACATTCAGCCAATCACATGCTCCGAAGGCACGCTTCTACCTCACATTCAACCAATCACATGCTCCGAAGGCACACTTCTACCTCACATTCAGCCAATCACACGCTCCGAAGCCTCGCTTCTACCTCACATTCAGCCAATCACACGCTCCGATAGGCACGCTTCTACCTCACATTCAGCCAATCACACGCTCCGAAGCCTCGCTTCTACCTCACATTCAGCCAATCACACGCTCCGAAGCCTCGCTTCTACCTCACATTCAGCCAATCACACGCTCCGAAGGCACGCTTCTACCTCACATTCAGCCAATCACACGCTCCGAAGCCTCGCTTCTACCTCACATTCAGCCAATCACACGCTCCGAAGCCTCGCTTCTACCTCACTTCAGCCAATCACACGCTCCGAAGGCACGCTTCTACCTCACATTCAGCCAATCACACACTCCAAAGCCTCGCTTCTACCTCACATTCAGCCAATCACACGCTCCGAAGCCTCGCTTCTACCTCACATTCAGCCAATCACACACTCCGAAGCCTCGCTTCTACCTCACATTCAGCCAATCACACACTCCGAAGCCTCGCTTCTACCTCACATTCAGCCAATCACACGCTCCGAAGCCTCGCTTCTACCTCACATTCAGCCAATCACACGCTCCGAAGGCACACTTCTACCTCACATTCAGCCAATCACACGCTCCGAAGCCTCGCTTCTACCTCACATTCAGCCAATCACACGCTCCGAAGCCTCGCTTCTACCTCACATTCAGCCAATCACACGCTCCGAAGGCACGCTTCTACCTCACATTCAGCCAATCACACGCTCCGAAGCCTCGCTTCTACCTCACATTCAGCCAATCACACGCTCCGAAGCCTCGCTTCTACCTCACTTCAGCCAATCACACGCTCCGAAGGCACGCTTCTACCTCACATTCCCTGACGGTGCTTTGACTTTGCTTTTTAACCCGGAAGAACGAAATTGCTCATAAAAACGCGAAAATAAAAAAATGTCCACTTATTGGTACAGTTTATGAGTCCTTTTAGTGTTTTCATTGATGTGCAGCCTGAAAATATTAGATCACATCTCAAAAAAGGTGTTTTGGGGTTTCATGACCTTTTAAGAAACAAGCCTCGAACGATCCGAAAAGATCAATCAGGTGCATCTGAATGAACTGGAACCCTTTTAAAGAGTCTCTGGCTGGAAAGTTAATATGTATTTATCTGAAGATAAGCTGTTATCAGTGTATTAGGAGTGGTGTTGTGTGTCTTCAGTCGGAGTGTGTAAAGCCCTGAACGCTCCGTGACGTAACGTCTGTTCCCGCAGGGTAATGTCTTCCACATGTGCTCCACTTCTGCCAAACTTATCTGCATTCACAGCTTGCATAACTTTACTTTGACCAAATCGCTGTCTGGACAAAATAGTTTCAACATCAGCCCTGTGATAAGATAAGATAGCAAAGCGCCAATGAGCTCGTCGTTCACTCGCTTTTAAGTTTTAAGTCTTTATCTGTTAATTAGAAGCTTGTGCTTTTGTTTGACCGCTTTTATGTGTTTTTTTACAGGAAACAACCGTTTCACAGGAAAACAACTGAGACGGCGAGAACGGCGATGGAACTCACGGCCAAATTTCCACATAAATGATGTTTAAAACTTGATCCAACACTTTTTAAGATTGGCAAAGGACAGTGGGAAGAGAAGAGGATCTCGGTGGTGATTGAAGTTGCTTAATCGTGGCCTAGTTTACAGCTGGCTAGCGCTGCTGAATGAGCCCCGCGTCAATCCGCTCTTTGTTGGAGGAGAAGCCATTCTCCCAGCATTCCTGTGTGTCTGTGACCTGTGTAATCGCTCTTTGTGCTGTTACGGGACGAGAGCTGTTTGTTGGAAGTCTGTAATTTATGAGAAGAAACTATTTGTCTTTCCCTTTGTCACTCTGAAAGCGCTGTCCTGAAACGCTCTGAAACGCAGCACTTGCTCTCCATCGATCGGTGTGTGTGTGTGTGTGTGTGTGTGTGTGTTGATAATCACAGGCCTGCAATCTCCACATGCTTTTTTATTCGCTTTCCAGATGAACGTTTGCATGGAAGAGTTTATTTTTATGAATCTTGCTGTCAGTAATTGATCTCTATAGTCTCTGCATTTGCAAAACTGGAGCTTTTATTTAAAATGGACCTGAATCTTATCTGGAAATGACTTTTTTGTCTTAAGTAAATAAAAAAAACATTTAGCCACATGTGTTTTTTTTGGTTTTTTTGTCTTCAACTGCTCGAGTTCTTATGACTCCTCTGGTTATTGATGAACTGAAGTAAAGCTGCTCGTGTTGAAGCTCGTCTCGGAGAACAGGGAACATTCTGTCCATGTTCTCAAAGTTATGAACAAACATTCTTCCAGTAACAGAATGTTCTTTCAAAGTTATCTGGTCTTTAATAATGTTCTCTAAATGTTAGCACAAAAACATTATTAATACATTGTTCATGGGGAGTTTCTGAAACATTTTAGCTGGACGTTTGTCTAACGTTTTTTAAAATATTGTTACTTGTTTCAGTACGTTCAAAAGTAATGTTCCCATGATGTTTGAAGAATGATGCCATGGAATGTTCCCTTAACGTTTTCCAAAACATTTAACATTAACCCTAACATGATTTTTTTTATTTATTCAGAGAATATTGAGAAATAACATTTTCATAACTTTTATAGCACATGATTTTTAGAACATATTTTTGTTGTCTGGGTTTATTGACACTGCAGAAGGTCTTATACTGGATCATATTTTCAGGACTGAACTCGAAGCTACAGAGGAAAATTATCATTCAATGAAAAGCAAGGGCAGATTCCAATAACAACTGAAGTGCTATTATTATTCACAGCATCACTCCCTTCCTGTTGAGGGGTTTAAACAACACTTAATATCCAGTAATAATACCCAACAAACAATAGCCGTCATTTCACCGGTTAACTATAGACCCGGTATAGTCCAGCTATGAGTAGGTTAACTATAGACCCGATATAGTCCGGCTATGAGTAGATTAACTATAGACCCGATATAGTCCAGCTATGAGTAGATTAACAATAGACCCGATATAGTCCAGCCATGAGTAGGTTAACTATAGACCCGATATAGTCCAGCTATGAGTAGGTTAACTATAGACCCGATATAGTCCGGCTATGAGTAGATTAACTATAGACCCGATATAGTCCAGCCATGAGTAGGTTAACTATAGACCCGATATAGTCCGGCTATGAGTAGGTTAACTATAGACCCGATATAGTCCAGCTATGAGTAGGTTAACTATAGACCCGATATAGTCCGGCTATGAGTAGGTTAACTATAGACCCGATATAGTCCGGCTATGAGTAGATTAACTATAGACCCGATATAGTCCGGCTATGAGTAGGTTAACTATAGACCCGATATAGTCCGGCTATGAGTAGGTTAACTATAGACCCGATATAGTCCGGCTATGAGTAGATTAACTATAGACCCGATATAGTCCAGCTATGAGTAGGTTAACTATAGACCCGATATAGTCCGGCTATGAGTAGATTAACAATAGACCCGATATAGTCCAGCTATGAGTACGTTAACTATAGACCCGATATAGTCCAGCTATGAGTAGGTTAACTATAGACCCGATATAGTCCAGCTATGAGTAGATTAACTATAGACCCGATATAGTCCAGCTATGAGTAGGTTAACTATAGACCCGATATAGTCCGGCTATGAGTAGATTAACAATAGACCCGATATAGTCCAGCTATGAGTACGTTAACTATAGACCCGATATAGTCCAGCTATGAGTAGGTTAACTATAGACCCGATATAGTCCAGCTATGAGTAGATTAACAATAGACCCGATATAGTCCAGCCATGAGTAGGTTAACTATAGACCCGATATAGTCCAGCTATGAGTAGGTTAACTATAGACCCGATATAGTCCGGCTATGAGTAGATTAACTATAGACCCGATATAGTCCAGCTATGAGTAGGTTAACTATAGACCCGATATAGTCCGGCTATGAGTAGATTAACAATAGACCCGATATAGTCCAGCTATGAGTACGTTAACTATAGACCCGATATAGTCCAGCTATGAGTAGGTTAACTATAGACCCGATATAGTCCGGCTATGAGTAGATTAACTATAGACCCGATATAGTCCAGCTATGAGTAGGTTAACTATAGACCCGATATAGTCCGGCTATGAGTAGGTTAACTATAGACCCGATATAGTCCGGCTATGAGTAGATTAACTATAGACCCGATATAGTCCGGCTATGAGTAGATTAACAATAGACCCGATATAGTCCAGCCATGAGTAGGTTAACTATAGACCCGATATAGTCCGGCTATGAGTAGGTTAACTATAGACCCGATGTAGTCCAGCTATGAGTAGGTTAACTGTAGACCCGATAAAGTCCGGCTATGAGTAGGTTAACTACAGACCCGATATAGTCCAGCTATGAGTAGGTTAACTGTAGACCCGATATAGTCCAGCAATGAGTAGGTTAACTGTAGACCCGATATAGTCCGGCTCTGAGTAAGTTAACTGTAGACCCGATATAGTCCAGCTATGAGTAGGTTAACTGTAGACCCGATATAGTCCAGCAATGAGTAGGTTAACTGTAGACCCGATATAGTCCAGCTATGAGTAGGTTAACTATAGACCCGATATAGTCCAGCTATGAGTAGGTTAACTATAGACCCGATATAGTCCAGCTATGAGTAGGTTAACTATAGACCCGATATAGTCCAGCTATGAGTAGGTTAACTATAGACCCGATATAGTCCGGCTATGAGTAGGTTAACTGTAGACCCGATATAGTCCAGCTATGAGTAGGTTAACTGTAGACCCGATATAGTCCAGCTATGAGTAGGTTAACTGTAGACCCGATATAGTCCAGCTATGAGTAGGTTAACTATAGACCCGATATAGTCCGGCTATGAGTAGGTTAACTGTAGACCCGATATAGTCCAGCTATGAGTAGGTTAACTATAGACCCGATATAGTCCAGCTTTGAGTAGGTTAACTATAGACCCGATATAGTCCAGCTATGAGTAGGTTAACTATAGACCCGATATAGTCCAGCTATGAGTAGGTTAACTATAGACCCGATATAGTCCAGCTATGAGTAGGTTAACTATAGACCCGATATAGTCCAGCTATGAGTAGGTTAACTGTAGACCCGATATAGTCCAGCTATGAGTAGGTTAACTGTAGACCCGATATAGTCCAGCTATGAGTAGGTTAACTATAGACCCGATATAGTCCAGCAATGAGTAGGTTAACTATAGACCCGATATAGTCCAGCTATGAGTAGGTTAACTATAGACCCGATATAGTCCAGCTATGAGTAGGTTAACTATAGACCCGATATAGTCCAGCTATGAGTAGGTTAACTATAGACCTGATATAGTCCAGCTATGAGTAGGTTAACTATAGACCCGATATAGTCCAGCTATGAGTAGGTTAACTGTAGACCCGATATAGTCCGGCTATGAGTAGGTTAACTATAGTCAAGTCAAGTCAAGTCACCTTTATTTATATAGCGCTTTTTACAATACAGATTGTATCAAAGCGCTTCACAGTGATAACATGAAAACAATATAACAAAGTTTGTTTCTAAAAGAAATTGCGTCAACGTCCACCTTAAGTAAGGCAGATCAATAATATTATTGAATATTAAATGTTAAATGTCAAGTCAAGTCAAGTCACATTTATTTATATAGCGCTTTTCACAATACAGATTGCATCAAAGCAGCTTCACAGTGATAACATGAAAGTAGTACAACACAGTTCAATAATATTGTTGAATATTAAATATCCCCAACTAAGCAAGCCAAAAGCAAGGCGACAGTGGCAAGGAACCAAAACTCCATCAGATTGGATGGAGAAAAAAACCTTGGGAGAACCCAGGCTAGTCAGGGGCCAGTTCTCCTCTGGCTAACAATCATAGGGTTTTAAAGAAGCTTTACAGTAAGTGCATATCAGAGAGTACCTGGAAAAAATACATTTAGTTAATCATGTAATATTTAGGGGATAACATATCGCCGGCGTTGAGTCGTCTCTTCGCAGGCGTTGAGTCGTCTCTTCACAGGCGTTGGCCTTCTCATCACAGGCGTTGAGGCATCCGAAATCCCCGTGAGAGGCAGGATACCAAACTGGAGCCTACGAACGCCATTTTTCTCGGGACAAGCGTCCCGAGATAACAGCAGAAAGGCAGATGGGAAATAATTAGCATAGCTGATGTTCATAATGATTTCCATTACACGGGAGTAGGTGTTAGAAAACCATAATCTCACAACTCTCCGCAACCCAAACTCTCCGCAACCCAACCGCATGTCCCCAACTAAGCAAGCCAAAAGCCAAGGCAACAGTGGCAAGGAACCAAAACTCCATCAGGTGACAGAATGGAGAAAAAAACCTTGGGAGAAACCAGACTCAGTCGGGGGGCCAGTTCTCCTCTGGCCAACGAAGGAACAGTGCATGATTCGGGCAGCATTACAAGTCAGATTGGATCGGAACATTTAGAGTATTTTTTGGAAGTCCAAGTATGCACGCCGGTCTTAAGACGAGTTGTTGAGGATCAGTGCCGTCCACCATAGAGAGTCCATATCGCCCGTGTTGAGTCGTCACTTCATAGGCTTTGTGATTGGAGCATCTGAAGTCTCCGTGAGAGGCTGGATACAAACTGGAGCTGACGAACGCCATTTTCTATAGACCCGATATAGTCCAGCAATGAGTAGGTTAACTATAGACCCGATATAGTCCAGCTATGAGTAGGTTAACTGTAGACCCGATATAGTCCGGCTATGAGTAAGTTAACTGTAGACCCGATATAGTCCAGCTATGAGTAGGTTAACTGTAGACCCGATATAGTCCAGCTATGAGTAGGTTAACTATAGACCCGATATAGTCCAGCTATGAGTTGGTTAACTATAGCCTCGATATAGTCCGGCTATGAGTAGGTTAACTATAGACCCGATATAGTCCGGCTATGAGTTGGTTAACTGTAGACCCGATATAGTCCAGCTATGAGTAGGTTAACTGTAGACCCGATATAGTCCGGCTATGAGTTGGTTAACTATAGACCCGATATAGTCCGGCTATGAGTAGGTTAACTATAGACCCGATATAGTCCGGCTATGAGTAGGTTAACTATAGACCCGATATAGTCCGGCTATGAGTAAGTTAACTATAGACCCGATATAGTCCGGCTATGAGTAGGTTAACT